GTGTATACCCCTGTCAGGTTGAACAAATTCACTCACCTGTGACGTCCTCATTCTGTCTCTCTGTACAGCATCACTGAGAGTTCTCCTCTCAAAGGCCCAGGAAACACACACACACACACACTGATATCAGCCACGGGCAGGTGTTTGAGATCACTGACTTCTGAAGAGGATTTCACCTATGGCAATTTGAATGCATGCCATGTATTTTCACCTAAGTAATGAAAGCTCTCCCTAGCTCTCAGTCGTATGTAAAGTCAGAGAAAAAGGCAAGGAACAGAAAGAAGGGTGGAGGGAGAGTGTCACACAAGTGTGAGAGGGAGGAAAAAATGAGCTGGGCGTGGAGCTCTCTATTTGTCTTTTCCTTTAGAGTTGTGCAGTGACTCTTCAGTTTTTCTGGGGCATCACAGCCTGAGCTTAGAATGACAGTGATGATAAATCCTGCAGGACACAAACTCCCACATACTTCACTGGAGACACTACTCTGATGATGTAAAGCTGCATTCTTCCATCTAGTGGTCACATATGTACGCACACTCATACGTTTGTGCACGTGTGCAGTGAAAAGCAAAACCTCATGTGCTCAGACTCACACACGTAAGGCACTGGCCTGCACTTAGAGCTGGAAGTAAGCATGATATAAAGATGACTTTCACTTGCTTCTATCACTGCAAGCACTGTAAGCTGCATTTAAATAGCAAGCACCAAATCCTCAATTACATCTGGGAATGTTTCCTGACAGTGAATGGCAGATGGAATAATCTTAGGTCTGAAGATGTTCTTAGATCTTCGACCTGCGTGAAGCAGATGTATCTGCTCCAATGAACAGAGAAGAGCTGCATGGGGACTGAAATGTTTATTCTTTTTTGAGGTACAACAGTTTCTATGCACATTTGTAAAACATGTGATTGACAAAACATGTGACAATCCCTTAATTTTTCATTGTGACAACAATCCCAAACAGTTCTGCAATGCAGTAAAGGCATGCCTGAATAGAAAAATGCATGAGTGGAACACTATCAGACACCAAAGTAGCTAAACTGATTAAAAGCCCCCACTGCTACTTAACTGGGCAGATCAATATAGAAGTTTAATTGATGTGATTAAAAGTGTTCCTTTATTATTTTGAGCAGTGTATTTCTAACATGTAAGTAAACTAGAAACTAGTATTTTGGTGTGTATGACAGTTTTGTACTAACTTAAAACATCTTTGCTTTAAAAGATTATCAGATATTTGTAGTGCAACTTTTCTGAAATAATTAGGCAAATTTCTATCCATTGGTCAAATGTGGGAAATGAAATCCTACAAATTGTCTCGCTGGCTGTTTTTGTCAGTCAGAATGAGTTTTCTTGATTTACAGCCAAAACATGTAAATTACACATCACAGTTCATCATTTTATCAGCAGACCTGTGAGTCCTGACCTGCGAGTGAACCTGCGAGTGAACTGCTGGCCTGTTGACTGGTTGTCAACAGCTTCCTTGGGGACTAATGTCCTGGCAGGAGTTGCATCCCACTTTGAGGACAAATGTGATGCTAACCATCTCTCCTCTGCCAACACCCATTGCTCATCAGCTGTGTGTGTGTGTCTACGTGCAGCAATACCAGTTGCCATCAAAAATATGTGAAAAACAGGTGTGTGATATGTATGATTGTATTTGCATTCAGTATGTGGGTGTGTACACTTTTGAGACTCATTTGAATTCATGAGTATGTATGGAAAGAGTGTGCGGTGAACGCATTTCTGATGGTCTGAATGAAGAACACAGCTGCCACTTGACACGGCAATTATGCCATTAGCTTGATGATTGGCCTGCATGCATCACTGTGACCACTCCCTCTCTCTCTCCCTCTCACACCCACACTGTAATCATGTGAATTTGCATGTAAAATTCAGTTGCATTTACTGAACTCATCACTTCTCAGATAAATCCCACAATCCACAATGCTGTATTTATTTATTTTTATTTTAACCTTGATGCTTATAATTTCACGATGACTGTAAATTAACAGATGGGCAACCACCCAAACACCACAAACCAGAAACAGATGGATATTTGCAACTTTCCTCCTTGATTTATTTTATTTTATTATGTTTTAGTATTTACTCCGTTATACAACAGACAACTGAATGAAAACCTTAATTCTACTCTGCATACACCCCACCCCCCAAAAAGGGCAAGGGTTATACTAAAACGTTGATGTTTTATGACATTTTTATTACAACATGCTGACGTCAGCTGCCTTTTATAACATCACCCTGATTTCTGACCTTTGGCCTATGACCTTGAAGCTTTACATAATAAAATTGTGTATTTTTTTTTTAAATCTTTACCCATATGACTGGAGCAGGCCTGGCTGAAATCTTTCATTTCTATAAGCTGTAAGATTTTAAGATATATTATTGCCATGTGGGATTTTGATAAATTTTATGGCATCATTGTGACATTGTAGGGTGTTGTACTGGAAAAAGCCTTGGCACTGTTGTGAAGTTTTAAGACATAAAGTGTTGTGGGTAATGTAACGTTTTTACTGATTTTTCACATTTGGTGTGACATTCAACTTCACGTTGACCAAACAGCTCAAGCTGTTTTTGGTATCCACCGTCACAAAAATCTGATATCATAGAAACTGCGGACGCTCGGCCGCTAACAAACATGCAGGCAGACATACAAGCTGAAGCAGTTGCACGCTGATCGTTGCTTCAGCATCACAGTTTATTGGTGAGAAATGAAAACAGGCTGCTTCATTATAGACGATGACTGCTTACACTGCATTAGAGGCTGTGTAGGTGGAGATCTACTATAGATACTCATGTTGTTTCATTTATTTGTGTAGCCTGGACGCTTACTGCTTTTACAACATTTGCGCAGTAATGAGGGCAGAGATTAAATCATGAGCTCAATTAGATCTATGTCATGTTTACTCACAAAGACCTTCCTGATGATGTGCGGTACTTTACTGATAGCTCTGCTTTCGTAACTGGCATTTATTGCTCAAATAAATCAGACATACATTACCGGAAATAATAATAATAATAATAATAATAATAATAATAATAATAATAAGCTGGTAAATCTTTTAACAACCCGAATACCTTAGTTGAGATTTTTACGACTGACGTCACCGCGCTTTTTACGGCTCCGCACGACGTCACCACGCATCTCTTCCAAACAATGCTCAGGAAAAAGCCACGTTGACGATCCAGACTTGAGTGTAGTCCACATTTTCAGGCAGAATAAAGCGGGAACAGCTTTAAAATTGAGGCTCAGCTCGGTTTCCGCAGCAGACCCCCACATCTGAGCAGGCAGCATGTCATCGCCGCCGAAGGAGAAAATCGAAACCAAAGGCGGTCATCTCCCTGCAGGTAAAGCTCCTGTGCTGTGGTGCTGGGGGTGGGTTTTTTTAAGCCTGTTATGAATCTGAAGGCCTTTTGTTTGTGCAATGTCTCAGATCAAAAAAAAGGAGAGAAAAGATCACATGATGGTGATGATTAATACTTATGCAACCCTTACACTGGCAGATGCCTTAGACTATAAATCGTCTGTGGTGTCCAGATTGCGTTTAGAATAATTTGCCGTAATTGTCTTTCGCACATTCCCCTACTTCCTGATTTGCGTGGGCTCTTGCAACATCACATTGCTGACATTGTAGCGATTGGTGAAGATCGCCGGCCCTTTAGAAAGGTTTTAGTTTCATTGTTGCCGCTAATAGCTGCTCAATGGCGGGCGGTGACGTGGAGGCCATGGGCTCGAGGCTTCAGCCATGTAGGCTGCACAGAAACGGGAAAAGGTGTACGTGGACATAAGCAGTAGCAGGCAGGGCAGTGGGCCACAGCAGCTGCAGGACTGATAACACAGTAAGATAACCAGTGCACCTCGCACCCAACCTGCTATCAGCGGGAAGCTCACAACACACTCATTAACTTGTAGTGTGTGAGGCTGTCCGAGATCAAGGACAACCACAGAACAGTCGTCCAGCAACTGCTACAACCGACCACTGTGCAAGTCACAGACATGATTTGTCAGCATTAAACAAAATTCTTAAAATTCATTTATTTTTGCTTCTTCAAACGCTGGCTAATAAGTCAAAAGGCCCAAGTCACCTAACTCTCCAAACACAACTAAAGTGGCTTTTTTTAATCTATTTAAATTTCCTGTTTTGATAGTGAGACCTTGGACAAATTCTTTCAGCTGATCTGGCAAATCACTGCATATGTGTTCTGTCTCTCTGTGTGTGGGTGTGCTCCAGTAAAGGCAGGCGGTATGAGGATAGTGCAGAAGCACCAGCCAACTCCTGCTCCAGAACCACCGCAGAAAGATGACAGCGAGGAGTACATCAGCAGCAGGTAACGCGCTCGCTTTAGAGAAGGACCCGAGCAGTCGAGCCATCGCTCGGGTAGAGGGATCTCTTGAGGTGACTGTAAACCACAGAAAGTCAATCAAAGGACCATCGAAACCACCACAAAAGACCTACAAAGAGACGGAAATGGCAGAAGATATGTGCGACGTAGCCACAGTGACGCATAACTATCAAAGCGGCAGGCAAAACAAATACAGAGATGAAATGACTGCACAGATATGCAAAAACTAAGCATTGTGCAGGCAAAATGAAAGATGAAAGTGCATGATAAGACACTAAAGGGCTGCACGGGGATTCAAGATGAAACTAACGTGCAGTGTTTCAGTGGTGAAAGGCTTTGTCATATCATGTGTTTTTTTTAATAAAACCTAAGTACACACATATCTGTTAGTCTGTGTGCAGCCTTTAACTGTGGTGATTTGTAAATTGCTAATCACAAACACGCTCTGCAAATTGCCAACCAAGGCATTTAGCGGCTTTCGCTTTTCCGTAAGGCTGTACTGTAGGCAGTTCCGCGGCAGACTTTTCATGTGTTGTCGCCAGCTAATTCAGTAAACAACATAATTACTGCATAATTACAGCATTAACTCGAACAGCCTATTCAGCAGTCGCTATTGTTTTGCCATAAACAGGCACGGTTTTAATGTTTTACATCACGCTGGCTCTGTTTGCGAGAGACAATAATTGTTCCGTCTCCGCATTAGCATGTTCGTCTTTTGTTGCTTGAATTGCATTGCTTGTGCTGAGGTCTCTCCGCTCTGCAACGGCGTCGTTGCAAGTTGCTCCTTATTTTCCGGGTAGCTGCGTGTGTCTGTCTTTGAATCTGTGCTTGTACACTCTCCTACATCTCCTCAATATTCACAAGGGTGCGTCAGCTGTGTGCGTATCAGCACAGGTGGCATATTCTCACCACATATCTGTGTGTGTGCGTGTGTGTGTTAATAAGAGGTGGTAAATGGGAAGTGACAGGCAGTGCACAGCAGTGAGCAGGGTTCAAGAACATTGCCAACTGTCAGGAAATTTTCTGTGCACAACTTTCCACACGTACGCACACTAAATGACATATTGCATGGTCTTCATCGGCAAAGCTGGTTGGTTGAGTCGTTTCCTGTAATTCAAAGGAGGACTAGCATCAAGCCTGTCAGCACCAGTAAGTCATTTCCTGTTGCCGTCTTCTCTTTTCTGCCAAGATGACAGATGGTAATAATAGAGAGGGCATTAAAGTTTAAAAATTGAGGCCAAGTATTTATCGCAAGTACAAAAACGCATGCGGACTGCGCTTTATACATGTTGTAGATGGTGATCGGCGCTATTCCAGCCTAACAACTATGTACTTCCTTAGTTTGTCATGTTGTTTGAGAGTATATAAAAACAAACTGCTTGTCACCGGTGCAGTGCAAAGGATCCTTTACGATTCTTTATCCAGTCCTATTTGCATCATCTCCTTGCATCGCATCATGACTTTAGGACTTGCACAGTTAGAAATACACAAACAACAATATCTGGAATCTGCAGGCAAATATCTGGAATTTGCCTGCAGAGCTTACAGTGTAGAAAGATCACATCTTTTTGCACTAATTAGGAAAATGGAGCATTTTCTTCACCCTGCCCTGCCCGCTCTCGTCTTTTTTAAGTGCAGGTGCACGTTCTTCGTTGTGATCTAAAGATTACCTGTCAGCACATCTACAAAAAGAGAGGCAGAGTAAGTGCACTCACTAAATACAATCAGTGCAGCTCTCGGTCACACGCACTTCTGTCGGTCCCTCTTTGTGTCACGCTGATGGACGTCTAGCAGGTGGCTACTGGGTAAATTTTGTATTAGTTGCAGCCAGTGGAGCGTTTTAGTCGGGGGAACACCTGCCTCTCCCAATCTAGCTGAGATGGACAGATGAAGCAAGGAAAGAAATAGGTGGCTGGGATTATGGAGAGGAGAGGATTAGGATAGGAGGGGATTATTATTGTATGGTAAGGGGTGCTGTGGCAGCATGAAGATAGGAAAAAGGACAGGTAAGAGATGGAGAAGGGGTGGAACGAGTGGAAAAAGGCCAGAAAGGGGAAGCAAAAGTTGGCCTCCGAGCTGGAGCTTCCTGCTCCATAATCGTGTGAAAGTTGTTCTCGTAAGCCATCAGGAACCACTATGTAAAACATTCAGGTACAGTGTGATGTACATTACAAGAGTAAGAGAAGCAGAGAAGTTTAATAGGGGTGGAAAAAGTGCCACTTGGTGCGTTACGAACTTCTTGCACATCTTTTGGATGGGACTCTCAGCTGAATGTCTATAAACTACATGCCAGGTGATCGGCTTTGCGTCGGCTGCACTACAGGTTGTGGTGAGAGGGGGATATGTTCCAGAGACTCGGAAAAAGATCGACTCAGTCGCTGCACACATACACTGTATGCAGGAGCTGTGGTGAGACGTGCAGTAGGTTGACAGCTCATGGTGAAAAGTTGAGAGGAGAGAGAGGGAGATAAGGGGGAAGAGGAGGGAAGATGGGCAACAGGCATTAGTTTCTATGGCAACCAGCACCTCGCCCACGGCAACAAACTTCCTGCTCTGCTGAAGCAGAGAGAGAAATGGGTGGGGTAGAAGTAGCAGTGGCTTTAATGCTTAAAAAATAAAAAGGTTAAAGAAAAACATCACGCAGATGGATTATTGCACATTTGACTTAACAGTTGAGATTTCTGACTCTCCGTCACTCTTTTCCTCCCCTGTTCCTCTCTCTATTTCCTCTAACTCTTCCCCTCTCCTGGCACTAAGCCTCCCCAAGATCCCACGCAGCTCTCTACTGCCCCCTGCAGACTCATTCTGCCTGTGAACGCAGCCACATTCCTCCTGCGCACAGAAAACCAAAAAAGAGGTCTTTGTCACTTTTGATTTCTCCTTCTCTCTGCCCTCCTATCGTTCCTCTTCCCCGTGCAGATAGAGTAGATTACAAAGGTGTCAGTAGTCTAATCTGAAGGATAATGCTTTTGTGCGGTATCTAGATCAAGGATTCGGGGCTTGCCATGGTGTGGTTTTACTAATCTCTGATTAATAAGTCTTAAACTGAATGACTGTTATCTGTTTATCAAGTGTGACTAAAACCTGTCATTAGTGTTTGTCTGCAGCTGGTGATTATGCAGTGGCTGCAGACAGCTTGCAAATTACAGGGAAAATCGGAACCCTTGGCCCTGCAGTGAGGAGATCCGAGGCTGGGAGAGGCATTTGTTGGCACGGTTTAGGTCTGCTTGTTCCATTAGAGGGGAGAGTTGCTTAAAATCAATACAGAGCTGTTGCCTGTGATCACCTTTATGCTCTGATGCAACATGTCTATCTGGAAGGGAGTAGTCTCTTCCAGAATGGCAACACTCCCCTTCACAGGGCACCAAGGGTCAGCGCGTGGTTTGATCGTGGTTTTTCCCGACTTGGAATTGACATTTGGGTGGGTTGCATGACTTCGGATGTAAGCACAGTTGGCGCACTTACAGGAAAGGCGATGAGTCTGCATTGCCTGTTATTTATGACCATTTGATTAAAATATACATTGTGCATGAGAAAATCAAACCAATATTAACAATTTTAATGAATTATCTTTGAATTTGGCTAAAGCCTCTTTGAGTTGGTCCACAAAACAAAACAAAAAAGCTGAAGTAATCTGACTTGTACGGTGTTGCCTTAACAGTCACCAGACTGGAGAAGACCTCCGCCGTCATCAAATGAAAGAATATCGTTTGGTAAAACATGTCCCATCACCAGAAAACGAGTGCCGAGGTGGATTTAAACTGTTCTGGTAGCAACATATTGGCCAAGGATCTAGGAAAAAAGCCACATTCCAGACGTGAGCGTACTCCCAAGGAGAAAAAAAACAAAGTTTTGTGTGTTTAGCCAGTTGAGCAAAAAGCTTATTTTTCTTTGAGTCCGATCAAAAACAAAACTCTTAAGACCTGAAGGAGCCAAATGCTTGACTGTTTTACAGCTTAACCCCCCACCACCACTCCCAGTTTGTCTAGACATGTCTTATCTGTCTGCTCTCTGTTGTTATGATGCCCTGATGCCAGGAGCAAGAGACACCCTTTGAAACAATATCCTTAATTCTATGCACTGACCTTTCTCTTAAATCTATTTTTTTTTAATATCCCTCACTTTATTGTCTGTTGTATAATATTTCAGGATTTCACCTCAAAGTGCACATTGGAGAGGGACACTCAGTACAATAGAGACAGCTCAGCATGAGTCCACACTGTGTCACTATATGAATACATATCCAACTGAGCATTGCTATTCACGTCAACCCAAGTGTTGCATCTGACTGTCGCTTCAGATGAGCCAGAAGGGCTAAAACAACTCCTGTGCATATGTTACATGTTTTTATTTCTACGTCTATAAATAGAGTTAACATCCAGGATAAACTGTTTGAGATGATCTTCTGAAAAGCACTTTTTCATCTTCACTTGCTGATTTACCCTCCACCTGCTCCCCAGCTAGCCTTAAAAAAACCTAACTAACTTGGTGTTGATTAGAATAAGGAACACTTGCGGTGCTAATGTGCTACGTTTTCAGTTAATTGAATTGCTAATAGAGAACCTCTCAACCTCGCTTTTTGACAAGTGGCTAGCATGGCGTAATCAATGATATTCGACGTATCTAGGCGTTAATGTAATACCGAGGTGTGAATTTTCTCATTAAGATGAGTGCCTAGATGTAGATCGGTAAATCCGATGTTTCACAGATGTGTTGGAAATCTGCAACTGTTAATTGGAAAAGTTGTGCGCGAATCATAAAAAAAAAACCAATTTTAAATAGAAAGGAGCAGATGGGTTGAAAATGTTTGTATTTTGACTGCTGAGGCTGCAGTTTGAAGTGTGTGTCCAAAACTTTTCATCTTTTTTCAATCTAAATTAGGCCGGTAATGAGGTAAGCTGTAAGCTGGACATGCTTGCTGCTATAGTTAATGTCCTTAAGTGGAGTTTTGAAGGTGGCTAACTTGACTGCACTTTTAGCCGGAGGGGTGACTATGCCGTAAAATTAGACGGCACTCGTTTGTCATGTCAAGGTCGATACTTACCTCGGGTTCCGCATTCCTCCTCCTCATCTTTTTCTCTGCCTCCATCCCTTCCCTCCATGTCTGAGTGAGCGCTCGCCTGCCTCTCTCCTTCATCCTCTTTTACTCTCCTCCAACAGTTTGTTATTATATAGGTATTTCACTCCCTGGGTCTCTCTGTCCTCTTTCTCCTCCTCCTTCTACAGTACTTTACCCCTCATCGCCTTTCTTTCCCCCCTGTCCTCACTTTTCTCTGTTCTCCTTTTTCTCCTCCTCCCTAAATCTTTTTTCTTCATCTTCATCACCAGGCTTCACTTTAGCTCTCTTTCTCTTTCAGGGGTTTAGTTTTCTTACTCCCTCCTCCCTTCCCCTCTTCCTTTCCATTAGAAGCTGTGAGCCTCAGTGTTTGGCCAGAATGAATGGGAGCTATTTAAGCTGCTGGCAGGTCCATCCGGGGTGTGTAGTATGTGTGTGTGTGTGTGTGTGTGTGTGTGTAGGTAGGTAAGTGGGTGGGTAGGTGTTGTAGGTTTTTGGCACCTTTGGGATGTTCCTTATTTATCTGATGTAGGCAAACTTATGTAAATGTTGGCATAAACTATATGCAGACAGCTGTGCTATTGACCTGTTTAAAAAAAAAATCCTTTCTAATTTCTCTTTTCTGTCTCCTTTATGTTTTTTTCTTTAAAGTCCACCGAGGGCCCCTGTGATTGTGTCTGGAGTGGTTACAAAGGTAAGACACACATTAATACAGACCACCAGTGGTGTTGAAATAAGCATTATAATGTGGTTTATATCTGGGACAGGGGTTCTACAGGGACCATAGAGGCTCAGCAGAACAAGACAGAGAGATGGGAGAAAAAGCAGGGGAGGGAAAGAAAATCGAGAAAATACTGGTGCCAAATGAGATGAGGGAAAAGTGGCTTATCTGTAATTTATGAATCTGGTTTAATAAAATGCGGTGCCACCGTGCAGCACCAAAACCTTCTGCAAAAAAGACCACAGAGTTGAAGCTGCTTCTCTGACACACTCCCAATCAAAACTGGAAATTGCAAGCTGCACATTGACTAGTAGTTCACTTTACTGCAAAATGCTGGGTATTAACCACATATGGCTTTAACTGCATCAGTGCCAGAGTCTGTTTAGGCTTTTACAGCCTTGACCTGCTGCTTTGAAAAGCAGGTGAAGGCTGTGAATAGCTGTTTGTGTTTAATTCTTTTGACTGTATGTGTGCGTGTGTCTGTGTGAAAAGTGTCCTTGACTGGCTGGATGGCTTCGTTCCCCGCTTTGTGTGTGTGTGTCAGACCAGGCAGATTGTTTGCGGAAGATTGCAGTGATATCAGAAGGTGGCAGGCATCCCATTTATCCCCCGATCCTCCTCTAGCCTTCCCATTTGCCCCTATCACTGCCATCAAGCCCAGAGGCTAGCAGTGCACAAAGCCTCAGAAAAGCCTTTTAAGAGTTAAGTGAAACACTTCAGTGTGTGTGTGTGGTCTCCAGGGAGTTTCCCCCTCCCCCCCCTTTTTTTAGCCTACAAAAAAATATGCCTTCTGGCTATGTACCTTCAATTTTTCATTCAGTAGCTGAATGTGTTTCTAAAATGCATTTTTTTTTTATAATAGAACTATTACCAGGAAGTAAAGCATCTAAAGAAAGACTAGCTGAAGAAGAAAGTAGAAAAAAAGGAAGAAATACCATTACAGGTCGAGCAATTATTAAACGCCCAGAGTAAGTTTTTTTCAGACTTTGTTTCTTCTCCTTACCTGTAATCAGATCACACCACAAAGTCTTTTTCTGTACACCCCC